AAGACTTTCAAGCCCTCACTAAGTAGCACGTAGCAGTCTATCAGATGTGCAGAGGTGTGAAAATAGGGTGTGGGCTTGAATTTCTGTTCCAAGCTCTCTTTGTTTTATTCTCGTGCCTTCAGTGACAGACCACCCAACAGGCTTTATTCCTGCAAAGCCCAACACACACGCAGCAGACGGCTAACATCAGTCTGGTTCTGCTCAAGGTTTCTGCCTGTTAAAAGGACATTTTGACTGGATGGATTAATTATAGGTCTTTGTAAATAATAACAAAGAGTACACTCTGAACCTGTAGTGTCAATGCTGCTATACAAATAAAGATTTATTGATTGATTCATTAATTATTCCCATTTGTACAAGAACAAGAAGGCATGTTGTTTGACACATAACAAAAGGCTTCCAAAGAGGCCAGGGGCAATATCGATAAATAGTAGGGCCTTGTATATCAATAAGTATGACCATAGTTTTCTTCAGGACCAATGAACCCTTTGACCGTCTGACCGACAGCTTGAACTGTCATGCACAGCTTTTGATCAATTACCCGTGAAAGAAAAATACCACTGTTCAACCTTTGAACCAAAAATAAGGCTGAAACGTCTTCCTCAAATTAACACTGTAAAGCATTTGCCCACCTCATATTGAATATCAATAATGAGAAACACTTGGCCTGCTCACTTTTCTGTTACATGAAATGAATAATTGGATCCCACATCAGGCTCTAACATGTGTCTGCGTCCCTCTAAAAGCCTCACAAAAACACATGATTCATCATGTGCATCGGTAATTCCAGTGTATCCAAGGGAGACCACCGACAATGCATAATCATATTAATGGAAACCGATATTAACACTTCATCCAGGTAATGATATAGGCTTCTATTCTTGGTGGAGCTTTGAGCAAAAGCAAGGTCAGTGCTCAACAGCTCTAACAGATTGTTCCTGATGTCCAATCTTGACAGAGATAGAAAACAGTGACGTCACAGAGGAATCTCCCATAAACACAGTGCTTATCATACATCAGGTTAACAAGGGAGGCTCTGCGTACGACTGACATCACGGTGATCCTGATCAAATCCCCTGGTGGACAACTCATTTGTCGTTGAGGCAACGAGAGGTCTACCATCCTGAGAGATTCTGCAACTCAGAGGATTAGGAAACGCTCCACTAGTGTAGTTTGTTTTCATTCATTCTGATTCGTTTCTAGATTTGTTTATTTCAGATGACTATTTCTTTCAGGTAATAGTGGAAAATTTGCAGAGGGAAATCTCACAAAGGTTATTAATAATACTACTATTAAAATCTGAAGCTAAGAAAATACACCATCCAGACCAAGTTTTCAGCAGTAGTCATCACTGTTCTGGTTCTTGTGTATGGATAGAATATGTCATACAAGTAGATGTATCCTAAATGTATCAACAAAAGAAGAATGGCAGCCCATTATATAGCCCAGTATATGCACAATGATACGTGCATATACCAAAATATCTCACTCTGGCTTGAATGCTCATTGTTTTTTTTGTTTTTTTCTGGTGGGTCCGCATTTTAAAAAAAAGTGACATTGTTGTACCAAGCCCAGTGAATCTTCTGATAAACATTTGTTTTCTTCTAAAACAAGCTTTGTAGTAGAGGATTCTGCAGCATGCTGGAATTGGTATTTAAAAATAAAAAAGAATATTTAACTTGTGGATGCAGTTAACTCAAAGTTAGGCTAAACATGGCTCACTGTCACTGCTTCATTTAAAGCTCTATGATGTCTGTAGCAATCTCATCCATCATCACTAAAGATATCTTTGCCGTTATAAAGGGAGAGTTTGAGAGTGTGTGTGTGTGTGTCTGTGTGTGTGTGTGTGTGTGTGTGTGTGTGTGTGGGAGGGGGGGAGTGGGGGGTCAATCAGATTAAAATAATAACTCCCATTTCTTATTCTTACATGTTTTACATGAGTAAATATTTAAATGTACATGGACTTCAAACGTCACACTATGGAAATATCTAGAAAGTGTTTTTCTATTTTCAGAGATTTGTTCCACATATTTCAAACACAACCACATGTTGGAACCATGTTGACATCAAATATGAAATACTGGGGGTTATAATGAAGCACCAAAGGAGATAATGGTGGTATGAAATTTGACAAACAATATAAGACTGCTGTTATCTATAATCTTACATTAATCACATTACTATGTATTGTCTGAAAAGTCAACAAACCTGATTCTAACCAACCATGTTTCTAGCTGAAGTTGGCGTTTTGTTTCTAGCAGAGTAGCATTAATTGTGTTTCCTGTCAAGTACTAAACAACAGAGAGGCAATGTTGCAACTGGCTGGTGAATGCAATGGAGACGATATAAACCAAAACAAGCTAGAATTTCAGGTATTTCACCTTTACCTAAATACATCAAGAGGCCACACAGATAACATAAGATTAATGTTCATGTTCCTCTCTTTCTGCTCAACACATCAGCTGACCTTCTGTCAGCAAAAGGGACCCTAAACCAAACATTTTTAATGTCTATAACCACAATAACTGAGACAGATTTTAACAAAGAGCTATACTGCATTAGGTCTGAAATCCTTTGTTTATACAGTTTCCCCAGCAAGCTGTCACAGTGAGCAGTAATGTAGATATTCAAAATGAAGTAAAAGGATAATTTCCCCAAGAGAATACTTAACACGCATGCACAGGGCTGGGGCTGTAAAACTGGCACATAATGGAAGTCCCACATAGCTGCTGTAATGAAACTTTTTATGTAATTGTTGTCATCTAAATATGCTTTGACACAGGGTCCATTTCACCTCTATCAGTAATGGGGGCTTGAAATTTGTTTTGTTTTTTTGTTGTTTCCTTGTTTTTCCAAAAAAGAAAAGAATAAACTACAACTCTCATCAATGAGCATGGCTTGGATTCACTCAGCCAAACACTAACTTAGTGCAAAAATGAAGTTTTCTTACATGTTTTCTGTGTTGGTGCAGAGTAAGGTGGATCTGAATGTACTTACTCTGTAGAAGCCATACAGGTGGAGCCAATGTTGTGCTGCTGCAGATCACTACCACTTTGAGGAACGACAAAGGCCACACAAAGTGAAGCCACTATTGATGTGTATAACAAAGACTACATTACCCCTGGTCAATTAGATTCCCTGCATTTCATTCAATTGACAAACAGATTCATATGACTAATGAATGTTTTGGAACCTGCTCTGTTTGCACTTTATAGCATCTGTCTTCTTCTCTGGTGTTGGCAGATTTCTACCTTGAACTACTGCCCTCTGCAGGCTCCAGACATGTGTTTTACATCACCCTTCATGCTTGTGGCCTGTTAGTCTATACTTGAACAAGAGATTCATACAATACATTTCTGAAACCCACTCATTGACCGTAGTTGTGGCCACAAAGTTGTCATACATCGGTAACTTTGTTAGGTTTCTTGTCTTCCGACATGCATCAACAATGATATTATATCCCCTTTGCTTTTTGATACAACACTTTCTGTAACTTGTATTGCCATTGCTTAAGAGGACTCAAATTTATTATGAATTAAGGATGAGAAAAACAACACACACTATTCTCCCAAGTCACGCAGTCCAAAGAAAAGTTACAACCTCCTGCCCCTATTCTCTCCACTCTAAACTCCTTACATTGCCAGAAGTCTTTCAAACATCTTGTGCAGTTTGTGGTAAAAATATTATACAGATATATGCTGATTTTTTGTGTTTTATTTCACCTATTACAGTTATATTTCTTTACTCTTTCTTTCAGAAAAGCAATGGATTCATCAAACAACAAGTGAAGTTAAACCTCTGCTTTTTTCCATCAACACAAGAGGGTCAGACTAGGACTAAATTAATCCAATTTTAGTTTTTAAAAATCCCAAATGTTTAAAACAAAAACCCAGGAGGATTCAAAATGCTTTGTGATGCATTCAGGGAACACAGTGAACTGTTATCTTCAGGCTGCAATATTAGCCTACATACTTGCTCATTGCTTGAAGTACATTTGTTTTACATACAACACCATTAAACTTTACTAAGCGATAGGGACATAACCATCATATTACATAGCCTATAGACATCCTGTGTATAATGTACCATATGTTGCATGTTATTGTAGGGTTTGGATAAACGTGTGGCACTTTACTTTGTGGTATTTTTATGTAATATCTCAATAACATCTCCACTTGGCCTTGATGTGTGTTGATGGTACACAGAGACTCTCAGTGGTGAGTTTATGGCGACCTTATCTCACTTAATTATATTTGTTTTAATCTCCCGAGGCATCACTAAACATTCTCTCGGGCCCTTAATGCTGTGCAGTGTCTGTCCTTCTCCCTATAGTGACTTTTCAGTGACCTTATCGCACTTTATGGCGATTTTTTATGTCCTCTCACTGGTCTTGGGGGGGGGGGGGGCTGGTTAAAGTGGGCTCAAAACTGACAAGTCTGGGATCTTGAACACAACACCGGGATATTATGGGAAATTACGTAATACCCCTACGGGATATTAAATGGCTAACGATATTTGGCCACTAAGTCAGAAACCCGCTCGCCTTGCGTAACAGCAGGGCCCGGGTGTGCTGCGAGGACGGATGCGCAGGTTGCCGTATTGGTAATGGATTGTAAACATGGACAGCCTATAGGCCTCGGCTGCCTCAAATATTCTGATGGAGAAGAGCCACCTTCTCTCCCCGCCACCTGCAGAATGCGCAAGTCTACAACAAGCCCACTGCAGCCCCGTAGACCTTCTGATTTATTGCACTGCACAAAACAGATAGCGGTGGGCTTCAGCTGGGATCTTCGCATATTAATGCAATGGAAAAACAAGAGTACAAGAAAACAAGTGTGTCGCTGAGAAGGCGCTGCAAAATATGCATAGTGGCCTACAAATGAATAAGAGGCAGTGACAGCCCTCCTGATTGATTTAGACGAAGATATATTAAAAAAAAAAAAAAAAAAAAAAAAAAAGCACATAGGCCTATTCAGTAATTCCGCTCAATCGATGCTTACCTCCAGCGTTCGTATCTCCTTCTGTGTCAAGTCGTTGGATGTGGCACATTTGGTCCGTAAACCCTCCAAACTAGAAATGCTTATGTCTATCATATTTTGCACCAACTCGCACTGCTGCAAGGCTTTCTGCAAACTAAGATGCTGCTCCTCGCTTTTTGTCATCTCCTCGTTCATAGTTTGGCAAGCAGTGGTCGTTATTTTTCTCCCGGTGCACTTAAAAAGAAAAAAAAAAAAAAAAAAAAAAAAAAAAGAACAAGAATAAGAATTCAGAAAGGAAACGTGGAGAAGCCCACGGAGCAGATGAGCCACCTGCAAAACGCCATGAAACGAGATGTTGTAGGTTTACAGACGCGGCTTGAGCCGTGAGAGAGTCGACTCCATTGCAACAACAGTCCTCGTAGTTCCTGCAGTTTCATCAAGGTGTCTCTGCTTGAAGGCTAAATCAAACACAATGTAAAGATACCGAGCGGGACTACGCGGTTTGCCACAGCATCCATTGGGTATCCCTTCCTCTCAAATTGACGTTGTTTTTTTTTTTTTTTTTTAAATAAAAAGGAGAAGCTGCCCTGCGCGTCAAAAGCAGACGTATTGGGGGGGGGGGGGAAGCCTGGCGGTTTTCAGAGGTGCTGATGTGTGGATTGGATGCAGGTACTCCCTGTCTCCCTTGGCAGCAGCTGCATCCCGGTTCGCTCCCACCACACCGACATGTTTCCTGTCAATCAAACCCACAGCAACAGCAACAGCATCGCATCGCCCAGGCACCCACCGTGAGGGGCCGCTATCGCGAGATTAGAGCCAAGTGCAGAAAACGATGCTTTATGGCTTCAATTTCAACCATCAAGATCTGTGTGTGCGACCACATTTACACGTTTTACAAAGGAAAGATGAGAGTCTTTGTTCATTTATCATGAAACGTACACACGAGAATATCTACTTTATGTTTCGTACTCACCAATATTACATAGACAGTTGAAATGGCATTTTTTTTCATTATGCCTACTTTGCAGTTAATTTATTGTACTTTAGTTTTTTGTTTACGTTTTTGAACCTTTGTGCCTGAGTGTGTGTGTGTGTGTGTGTGTGTGTGTGTGTGTGTGTTATTATCCTGTCCTTGTGTAATCAGTTAGATTTTGTTGTGTCTCTTATCCCTGTTATTATTTCTTTATATAAAACCTACTTTTGCAAGCAAGGTGTTTTACCACTGAGGAGGAAAAATGTCTTATTTAACTAAAGTTAGACTAGATCACCAACCAGGGCATGTAGACACTATTTAAATTATAGAGACACGTGCAGTCACAGGCACTTTTGATTGTGATTCCATGTAAGACCAATATGATAACACATGTAAAGTTGGAGAGAAAAGATTTATTCAAAAGCATCATTTACATCATTATAGAAATTCTCACATGTGGTGAAGATTATTATTAGAGACTTGCATGTAGGATCTGCTTTATGTATGAAAAAAAAAAACCTCAGACTCATTTTGTTTATTCAATTCCCCTTTGACTTGAATACAAATGTAAGAATTTTTTTTATATTAAGAATTTAAATGCTAGGTACTTTTTCACAACAGAGATGAAACTAAGGTGACTGTATTGAAAAGTTGCAACATCTTATAGATGAATGTCTTATTGTGACAATTTGCTCTCTCTATAAAGGATGGGTGAAGGTATCCCAGCAGAGGGAGGGGGGGTCTGAACTGCAGGCCTTACTTTTTGCTCTAGAAGAAATGTTTTGTCTTTCGCAGTCAGTTTTCATCGTCCATATGGACTTTCCATCACACACACACTTTTTACAGTCGCCTCTCACATCACAGAGACTCCGCCCACATGAGCTGACAAAGTCATCCGATTGGCTGTGCGCCGTGACGTTTGACGCACGCTTGCTGAGGAGCGCGGCAAAACACGACCAAGGCACTACAGGCAAAAGTAGAGTGGAAGTTTCCAATATTCATAAAGTATTTGAAACATATTGGAGCCTAATTCACAGTTAAGGACACATGGCTTCAACCAGTAGAGCGTCTTTACAAACCAGAAATCTACCATGGTGAGTTGAAGGTGGCTGTTTATCACTGAAAGCTGAAATTATAAGTGCTAGCTGGCTAACACTTCTCCTGTGTCTTGAAGCTAGCAGCTGGCTACACAATATAGACTTATGTCATCTATGCTTACTCGTGTGGTAGCTGCAAACAATACATATTCGTCATACATATGAGCTAATTCACTCATCAAACATGGTCTTGTTGCAACTTGAACCAACTTCCTACAAATCTTTTTTTGTGTAAAAGATGATGCAAAAATATTGATGCCGAATTGATGAGTAGCACATAAACATCTGGAGTATTGGACTTTTGTCTAAAGCTTATTGCATGTACTCCGAAACTTTGACGTAAGAAGCTCAAAGTGGTCAAAATGTTAATGAAGTTCGTTCTGTAGTTAGTACCGAATACCGAAAAAGGTGCATATACGTGTTGTGATTTGAGTTTCCTTCTTCTTTACTAACATTAACTCACCCAAGAGTCACAAGTGCTCCTCTGCAGTGATACAGAAGCGTTTACGATTGAAAGTGAAGTGTCTGAAATGTCTGAAATTCCACATCAAAAGCAACATTGATGACCTATTTGTCCTCCTTTTTCCAGGGTTGAAAAATACAGACCAGAGAAACTTGATGATCTGATCTCACACAGAGATATTCTAACCACCAGTAAGTATTTGGTCTGTCAAATGTATACGTAACCCTCATAATTAAAGCCTATGAGAGTTCCCCTGCTACACTTTGCATTATAATTATTATGGTCTGCCTATAATTTTTAATGTTGATGATTTACTGCTAGAAAGCTATTCATGTGACTATAGCACTGAAGTGTTGTTGACATTGTAGTTTGCAGTGGTGTGTTGGTTGAAAGGATTGTCTTGAAAGCTGTTCTTATTTTTTTTGTCTACCCATATACTTGCATAGCTGAGGCAAAATACTAGAAACAACTTAATTATAATACACTATATGGTCCACCAGTATAACCCCAAGTTTAACGGAAGTAGAGTTATTACATTTCTTACACTTTCAAATAAAATGGAACATTTAAAGCTTTTTAAAAGTAGAATTCACAGCAGAGAAGTTGTATTAGATCATAAAATTGTACAGGTTTACCTTATGTAGTGACCAGTGAGCGTATACACAGCACTTTGACAACACCTGTATTAACTTTCCAAGCTTTCTGGGAACTGTTCGTGTTCACTGTTCCAGACTTTTGCCTTTGCTCTTTTCAATGGTTGTTTTGATAAAACAATTTGTAATTAAATTATCCAATGCCATGGCTATCAAAACATTTCTCTTGTTTTATATTATTAGTTCTTTTTATGAAGTTCAAGGCGTATTCTGACAGTTCATTTTGTTTCTATGTTTTCAGTCCAGAGGTTTATCAGTGAGGAAAAGCTTCCCCATCTCTTGTTCTATGGCCCCCCTGGTACAGGCAAAACCTCCACCATCCTCGCCTGTGCAAGACAGTTGTACAAGGAAAAAGAGTTCAACTCCATGGTGCTAGAGGTACACTGGACCTTCTACTTATCAGCTTTTTTTTTAAATTGAGATATAAGGGCGTCTTTTGGCATCTTACATTGTCAAAAGTTTTTGGATGAGATCTGTGGCTCTTAAATTTGAAGTTTCACTCATTTTCAGCTAAATGCATCAGATGACAGAGGTATCGATGTTGTACGAGGTCCAATCCTGAGTTTTGCCAGCACCAGAACCATCTTCAAGTAAGTGTAAATATGAATCCAACCTTTTTATCTTGTTGACTTGTTGACTTGTTGAGTGTTTTCTTTTATCTGTAGCACACGGCTGGAGGAGAATTATTTAAACTGCTGCCTTTGTGCCTGTCTCTCTTGTCCTCCAGGAAGGGCTTCAAGTTGGTGATACTGGACGAGGCCGATGCCATGACCCAAGATGCCCAGAATGCATTGCGGCGAGGTAAGCCATCTGTTCGACCGGGCCTCGCCCAGTGTGAGCCACACGGCTCACTGAGCAGCCAGACACTATGGTTGCTCCTGAATCAGTGACTATCTGCTTTATCACCCTGACATTTGTTTTTTGTTTTTTAAATACATGTTTGATGATTTCAATTAAATACAGATTTAGTTAAAGTGGGATATTTTGCCTTTAACTAAATCGAATGTGATCATAGGGCATGGATTTCAGTTCAATGTTCCATCTTTTGGTGGAGAACAAATGTGTCCTGCTGTGCAGATAAGTTTACAGATTTAGTGATAACTGCACAATTGATAAAACTTTTTTCTTAAAGCCCAATATTAGAAAGTCATCTATCAATAAAAGGTTTACAACTTTTCTTATACTGAGTAAGCAGTTTTGTACCTGCTATGTGTTTTATTTTATATTAATTACTTTATTAGACTTTTTTAAATGATGGATGATTTTTTTTTTTTTTGATGACCACAATGTCTTATTTGATGACTTTCATTTTTGGTGAATATTGACAGCTAGATTTCAGAGCAGTTGCACAAGAGGACTTTGAGACTCACACATGCTAGAGCTGATTGCACTTTTTTTTTAGTTAAACATACTCATGTGTTCTTCTCTCTGTTGTCCCTCTACGCCCCTCTCTCAGTGATTGAGAAGTTTACAGAAAACACACGGTTTTGTCTCATCTGTAACTACCTGTCCAAGATCATCCCGGCCCTGCAGTCTCGCTGCACCAGGTTTCGCTTCGGCCCGCTGTCGCCAGACCAGATGATCCCTCGGCTGGAGCATGTGATCAAGCAGGAGAAGTAGGTGTTTGCATTGGTTTACTTGCAGTGGCTGATGAGGAAGAAGCAAAGGGTACATTAGAAAAATATCATTCTATTTGCAGCAACATTTAATATGGTTCATGGTAATAAATGTCTTAAATCTGGATTGTTTAAAGAAGAGAAAAGATACACTTTGACAGTAACACATGTGTCTGAAGTGTGATACATCTTGCGTGTTTCCATTAGCCTGAGTGCTGATTGGCAGAGTAAATCTTTTTGTTGCAGTATCGACGTGTCACAGGATGGAATGAAGGCCATCGTGACCCTATCGTCAGGTGATATGAGAAGATCGCTCAACATTCTGCAGGTAAGAGCAAAAGCTCTTCCTCACAGATTATTTCAACCCTGTGTTGCTGTTTTCTTGAAGTTTCTGTGTTTCATCGTCACAGAAGGCTAAACTGTAGAGTGTGTGCATTTCCCTCGTGTGATCACAGAGCACCAGCATGGCGTATGGAAAGGTGACAGAGGACACAGTGTACACCTGCACGGGTCACCCCCTCCGTTCAGATATAGCCAACATCCTCGACTGGTCCCTCAACAAAGACTTCACCGCAGCGTATAAGCGTATCCTTCAGATAACCCCTTACTCGTCTGTCAGAATCATTCACATAGGAAGATTAACTGTGAAATTATAGTCTGGATGTATGTTCCATGTAACCTTGAAGCTTTAATCCATCTTGTGAAATAGGAACAAGTAGATTCAATTATTATTTAGAGTTAAGATAAGACCTTAGATTCTAGAGCTGCTGCTTACTTACTTACTACATCCTTTGAATTACTGCATTTCAAACCGGTGGATGTCATGTTGAAATGGATGAGGAACATTGCCCATGCTACATATGGTTTGGCAGGATCTGTATGAAATGTTTGGATTTGTTTAGAAAAACCAGACACTGACTTACACCAGTTTGGATGTTTGTTTGCAGTTCCTTAACACTCTGTCTACAGAAATCCTTCAGCTGAAGACGTTGAAAGGTTTGGCCCTGCACGATATCCTCACTGAGGTTCATCTGCTCATACACAGAGGTGAGGCCACAGCAGATGGAAACACAATTTCAAAAAAATATATCATCAATTTCTCCAAACTGGGTACAAAGTTGTTTTTTTCTGTTTTTGTATGAAATTGTTTTGAGCTTTAGTTGAAACTGTTAATAGAATACTTTTAGGTTTTGTTGTTTGAACCTGAAGTAAAGTCTTTTTTAGCTCAACATCTTTGAGTTAAGAGTGTCCTGATAGAAGCACTATAGCATGATGGTAGGCAGAAAAAGTAACTTTTAAAAATGAAATAAAGAGGATCATAATGTGTAATGAGATATTGACCACTGATTTAAAACAGAACATTTGAATCCAGCTTCTCCTCTCTGTAAAGAGTTCTGGTGATATAACATTTCCTCATTTAGATGCTTTAGCTCCTTTACCTTGAGCAGTTGTGAGTCTCAAACGAGGCCCCTGGCTTGATAACTGTAGGATGTGTGGGCGGTCTACTGTTGACTGCCACAAGACTAAGCAGAGTCAGGCCAAAGAACAACCAGGTCTGTGCTTGCTTGATATGATTCCCTTTACCAGCACTAAAATGTTTGTTATGTATTAATGTTGTTCACCTGAACCGTCATCATATATAGGTTCAGTATCAATTGGTGACTTTTCTCTATACCTCATAGTCCTTTGGTAGTTTGTACTAGATGATGTTGTGGATTTTTCTGTTGGCAATGAAAGATCTCAAGTCAAAGTCTTTTGTCTTTGTGTGTTTTATTGCATATAGTAAAGAGTTCTTTTGCAAAAGGGGTAATCAGCTGCAAAAGTAAGTAAGTGCATCAAAGATTCCTGGGGCAGTCCAGGTTGCAGAGCATATTTATACTTTCACAGGGCGTAGGTATTTTGCATATACATGAGTGATACATCGTCATAGGTTTCAGCTTGCCCTAGTGACTACGCCTAGTTTGCCATGGTGATTTATCTAAGCAAGCTTCTTTCTATAAGGTACCTGGTACAGAAGAACACCAACAGAAACTCCTTTGTCCGGAGGGCACTGATTTAGGATCATGCTGTACTCAGATAATGAGGAAAGTTCCTGTTGGAGATATAGGCCATACAAAGAAACAGTTTTTAATTGCTAAATGACGCACGAAGATCTAAATCTTCTAAGTTCAAACGAAGACGACAGACAGATAGTATTTTTCCACTACAATGATCTGGAATGTTTTTTTTTTTTTTCTCCCTCCAGTGGACTTTCCTCCAGCGATTCGAATCGGCATGCTCATCAAGCTGGCTGATATTGAGTAAGTGAGATCACTTATTCCTCCTCTCATAAACATTATTATTGAGTTACTGAATATAGAAAGTTCATTTCATACAGGCGTCCAGATGTGGGAAACTGTTGCCTTTGCTCTCATAATTTGTCTCCTCCTCAGACACAGGCTCGCCTCAGGCACCGATGAGAAGATCCAGCTGAGCTCCATGGTCGCAGCCTTCCAGGCGGTCAGAGACCTGGTGGTCAGCGAGGCCTCATAGATACAGAAATCCAAATTCTGTTTTTTGAGTGCAGACAGCTCAAACTTTCTCAATAATTCCTCTATGGCTACCATTAGTTTAAAAAAAAGTCCCTCAATGAAATCACAGCCACACCAAGATTTCAAACGATATTGACTTTGTTTTGTTATCTCCTTCTTTGCCACCTTGATGTCTTAGTCGCTGCAACAATAAACTTTAAATAGCTGGCAAGAACTCCAGCTGTGTCTCAGATTTATGGAAGTGTTTGTAAGGTTTACTATTATTTCAATTCCTGTGGCTTGCAACAATGCCATGAAAAGCTAAGCGCTAATAGGTGGATGTTTTCTTTTCAACCAAACACATGATTTCATTGTTTTGTACGCTTTCATGATGGGTCAGTTAGTGAAATATCTTCTGGAGTTTGCTGATTTAGAAATGAAAAAAAAAAACAGAAGCCTTTAGGCATCCACTGCATGTTTGCCCACCACCGCCGCACAGAGTTGATGCTAGCAGCTAAATGAGTCACTCACATCTGCATATGACCCGAGTGAAATGGAAGGCAGTGGTTTGTGTAGCTGTAGTACCAAAAAAAAAAGATCCACTCTTCGGGGCTTAAAATACGGGCATTTAGCAAAGAATGGAAGATAGACGTATGGTAACCAATTAATTCACTGATGAAAACAAAGGAAAAAATATGAAATATTCCATAATGTTAAAATGCAACAACAAATACATCGGTGTAAGAATGGGTCTTGGACATGTACATGTGTTTTGTATCTGTTTATTAAAACTATTTCCTAAAAGTCTAGTTTTTGTTTTCATATATTTACAATTAGGATGTGCAGGATCAGTAGTATAATGCATGTGCTGCTTCATGATAAACACAGGAATTAGAAATACATTTTATATGTACACAATAAATTAGAAAGTATAAAATTGTGATATTCAATTCAAGCATGTGAACATTGAGTTTATGCATCATCTTAAAGTAGTAGTGCAAAAATGAAATCCTTAGTGTAGGAATGGGTTGACATTAAGATATGCTCAATGTTGAAAACTTGTAGCAAACAATAAAGGCATTCTTTTTGAATAATGAGATATGATGCATAACAATCATTAGCTGTAAATGTCAGTGGTTACGTTGCGTTAGTGTTCCTATTTAACCCTCCCAGTCCTCTTCATCTGAGGAGTAGCAGGTTTTCAGGCGGTCTGGGATGTTCCTGTAAGTGAGGTACTCGAGGATCCGTTTGGGGAGGGGCAGCGGTTCCATCTGGTGCGTGGAGACGGAGTCGCGCAGGATGGATCTGCACAGGTGCCTCAGACAGGGCACCGTCCTCGGAGCGTTCCAGAACCTTACGTGACCGTCTCTGGTTCTGGAGCGAGAGGGTTTAGTTAGCGTGCTGCCGAAGCTTATACCTGAAGACTTTAGTCATCTTTCAAGCAAATTCAAATGTATATACACAAAACAATATGATGGCATGAGGATTTTTTTTTTTACCCTGTGGCAACCACTCCCCCTTGAGGATGGTATTTGCAGCAGAGTCCATTTGATTCTCTGTCAGCTTTTGTCTGCATCACCATCCCTCTTTTTCCTGGCTCCCAGACACGAAGAGCTCTGCAATTTTTTGAATTATATTTTGCAATTTCTGTCGGTTGAATCTATACTTGACATAAAAGATTTATTAAATGGAACTTATAAACGACTCACCTGTCATCAGTCACAATCGCGACATGCAAACCATTGGGGGAGAACTGTATTGCTGAGATTTGGTTTTGCCCGTAGTCTTCAAAGTAGTCACTGTTTATAAAAAGAGTTTTAAAATAAGTAATGTTCTGAGTAGCCCAAGTCGGAGATCCTTAATATTTACAATTTGAGATTGAATTTGAATAAGAATGGGTTTAATTTGCCACTATTGTGGCCGGCTGTAAATACAAAGTACATTTTGACACTGAGAAGTGAGCGTGGACTTACACCAGAGTGGCCAGTTTCTCCGCAGTGTATGGATCCCACAGGTCGATCCACCAGCTGGAGCCTCTGAAGGCCGCCGTGGCGAGCAGCGCCCCGTCAGGAGAAAAGTCACATGAAGACAGCAGGTACAAGGACTTGTGGGTCCCTCCTGTCAGGTTCCTCATGAAAGTGTATGAGCGCAGACTCCACAGACACACCATCTATAGATGGCAAAATGAAGACAGGTTAATTAGTTGTAGTTTTCTATTTGAAGTAATGAATGTAGGTCAAGTCTGGGATAAGTAATTTTGCCCCGCGGCATTTGGCAGAGATTGCAATGCTTGATTCTATGATCATAAAAATCTGGTGTTACACAAGGTAAAGCTGCCTGCCTTTTTATTTTTGCACATGAGAAAGTGTCAAATTTACAGATTAATGAGCATGAAGAGCCTCCAAGTGCTCCAAATGAGGAGAACAAAGAATAACACTGATGAACTCTGACGGCCTTTAAACAGCTTTACACAGGAGCAAATGAAGTGAGCCCAGGAAACAAACCTCTTAAAATGTAAAGTCTTCAGTAAATCCGATTTTCTTTTTAATTTACCTGAAATTAGACATCGGTTCTATGTTTATAAAAACCAGCTTGTTTGTTCAGTTAACTTGAAAAAAAAACTGTCTGCTAAAATGTGTCTAAACTAATGGAGAGTATCTACCTTACCAATCTGTTCAGAAAACAATATGTCAGGCAGCTTGAAGACTTCAGGTTTTATGAAGTGTTACGGTTAAACCGGTAAAAAGTATATGAATGCATACAAATAAAACATGCCTTCCTTTAATGCATGCCTTGGTTATAAAACAATAAACAACTGATTCACTCACTCTGTCAAATCGGCCGACTGAAGCAATCATGCTGCAGTCTGATGACACGCTGCAGCAGCTGATCCAGTCTTTATGGCCAGAGAGCACATGCACCTTTTTACCTTCAACAGACAGAAACAGAGAAGTGTAATGATCCGAGTGAGACACACTACACAAGAGTGGAAATGAGACTCCTGTGTGTAAACATGAACATTTGTTTGCTTTCACCTCTTCAATCTGAACAAACCGTTCAGCATTGTTACGAAACACAGGGGTGAAGTGAAAAATACAGACAAAAGCAGAAAAATGTTTCAGTGCTGATTAAAGAAGTGGAATTACACAATCTGAATGCTAACTACTCCACTATTTATCAATGACTACAGCAAGCCTTTAGCCTGACTGTCATCTTTGTTTCAGTTGATATCAATGTAGTGTGAAATGAGTTTGCAGAGTCCTGAAACTTGTTTGGTGATAGCCTCTCAGCGAGGTCATGTTTGAAGAGGGCAAGTTCAATAGGTGTATTCAAGGATGCTCCGACATTTGACATTCAGTCAGCTGCCAAAAAGCTGTGCTCAAGTGAAGCGCCCTGGATCTGTTTTTTGAAAAGTTATTGCACTCTTGACTTATTTTCAACGGACAAACTGACTTACAAGATTGAAAAAGCAACATGTTGGGGGATCAACAGTTCCTTTTGTTCAAATCAAAAACTGTAAGTCATGAATAATATCACTCCAGAAACAAAAAAAGAGAAATTCCTCATTCCCTCCTTGTGCCGCAAACTTTTTTCTGGCTGGACAATTTTTCGTTTTCCACCTACTAGAGTTTCCTTGTTCACTGTAAAAAATATTAGATTGAGTTCATTCAGTTTCAGTTTGTTGATATATGGTTTCTTAATAGAAGCTGACTGTCAAGTTTCAAAAATCAAAACTGTGTTAGAACAAAATTAACTCTAGAATATATTTTTCAAACCACATGATGAGGTGAGTAATAGCCTCCCTGCGTGTCTACAGCAGTTGTTTGCTTCAGGTATTTACTTGTGAAACAGTAAGTTTGCATTGCATTCTGAAGAGCAAACAGTGCGTATCGGTAAGGATTGTTGTTGAGCACATCTTAAAATGTCATTACAAGAGGAGGCACAACCCAAGATCTTTGGAAACCTTGAAAAAAATTCCATTGATACCTTTGTGAGCCAGGTCCCATATCCTCAAAGTCTTGTCCCGGGAAGATGATATGAGTGTGAGGGTTCCATTCTGAGGAAAGACCAGATCCCTGACAACGCCCTCATGACCGTGGAGATCAAATACAGCCTCACCTTAAAAAAAAACATGAAAAGGCATTTTAAAACCAGCTTTAGATTACTCATCGTCTTGAAAAGATCACACAGATGAAACCCTCACCTGTTAGAACGTTCCATATTTTGATCACCCCGCTCTCCAGGCCTGTGGCCAGTAGCAGGCTGTTGTTCCCTTTTGGTGGTGTTCTGGCGGGGCGTGCAGCTGATCTTGGAGGTCTGGGTCCGAAGGTGAGGCCCCACACTGGCTCACCACAACTGAAGCTCTTGTCCCCTCGATCAATTTCTCCTTTCTGACTGTCTCTGTGGGCGAGAGGAGTATCAAGTATGCAGTAACCATGGAAAAAAAAAAAACCTGTAGGTGGTGTGAAGCTGGAGCAATGCTTTAATGATGCTGCCTTTGGATACAGTTGGAAAAGTCTGAATACTCATGGAGTAAGTTAATAACACACATTTAATCTATTTCAGTAATTATTAATTCTGCAGCTTCCATAATGTTGGTTTATCCAGCTTTTTCTTCATATTACACTGGACTGTACATGATCATCGCTCTCATTGTAAACACAAAACCTCATCACTTAATGTTTACACCAAAATCTATTTGTATGACAGTGTAAAGGGAACAATCCAGTATTCAAAGATTCCAGTGAATGTTAATCAAGTTTTAAGGCTTGTTCATTTCATAATTGACTTTAGACTGCCATTGGATTTAGTTATTGTTATGCTTTTGAGAATAGTGTGTGTATATATAAATCTGGCATGTTTGTCTAGTTTTCAAAAAAGGTTTAAAATATGATATTGCACAGATTCGTTTGGCGCCTCAACGCAGGTTACCAGGACTATTGAAAACTATTTCTGGACACTTTCACAGCCTGATCCTGGGTTAAAAATGTCAATATGGCGTACTCCAGGGGCCAAAAGCGTTCCTATAATTAAGACACTGACATAAAAAAAAATGCACTAAGTAGAAGGAAAATGTGTTATACAGGCATAAAATGACCCATAATTATTTCAAGCCTATTTTTTTTTTTTTTTGCTGCACATTTTAATTGTCTTGATGAATTCCCCCCTTTTTCCTTTCTATATCATGCCTTTTTTTTCCCCCTATTGTCTTTTCCTTGAGAAAATATTGTAATGAATTCATGCATAAATCAACCACATAAATTCCCTCAAATTATACTTCTTTAAATTATAGCTCCTCTGTGGATTCACCTGTCTACTGGCTGCTATCTACTTAACTTTGAATAAAAAAAACTAATTACAATATTGATAATTTTACTCCAATATGATTTGGCACAAACAACACAGCCTTCCCCTGAATATAGAATATCCGAGTGACACCTGAACGCATCATGTGTGGGATTTACATGTATTCAGGTAAAACCTACTCCGAGTCCAGAGGCCAGGCGACAACCCACACGATCCCGTGTCCCATCGACCAGGCGAACCAGGCTCCGTCCGGGGAGAAGTCCACGCTCCAGGTCTCACATCCCGCTCGGCCCTCCAGGGACGGAGGTCTCCTGGTCTTCAGCTCGAGGATGAGAGCTGGGTCTGAGGCTGGAAGAGGGCGGACAGGCAACATCAAGTCAACACATACACTCACCCTTCACCGAGTCACAGTGACAGCGGCTCTCCTCCACATAATCTAATCCCCTCTCCCCGCTCGGCTGTCAGGTTTCTCCGCACGTCAATCGCTACGTAGAGACCGCTGCTTAGTTACGGTTACCAGGCGATGAAAACGCGCTGACATTATTATTTACATTTGTCACTTACATGTCCGTTTTAGCTCCGCGCTGTTTTCCGTGGAGCACATTGTTTTTTTTCTCCACCCCCCCCACACACACTTCACATTCTTCGTCTTTCTGAATTTGTCGTCCGTGTTTCAGTCCCACCGCCCATTTAACTATTCAGGAGGCTTCCTGCTGTGTTGTGACTCCTCGCTGTGTGTGATGCTGTACTCTCTGCTGTGTGGGGAAATGCGCGAGTGAGGAAAACAAAATGTTCAGCTGATTTCCTGTAGTCTTGACTCACTTTGTACCATTGGCTGCGGTGTTGCCCAACGTCGTCACGTTTTTCTTTCATTACGTAAGATCACAGAGCTACGCCACGCCCTCTGATTAATTTATAATACATGAAGAATCTCTGGTTTCACTGTTGATGCTTACTAACAGCATGGGAAGCTGTCATGTTATGAGGTGATGTCATGACTGTAATATGTAGGTCAGGTTTTCCTGAAGAACATTAATCTATCAGTTGTCAAAACATGTCCAAATGTAAGACTGGACAGAGAAACCTAATCTCAAAACATTTTGACCTTTGGAAACCTTTTATAACCAAGTCATAAATGTTGTTAAACAACCATATCAAACAGAAAACAAAGACCGAACACTACGAGGATTCAGGTCTAAATGTTGCTGTTATGGTTTTGTATTGGGGTCCAGCTTTTAAAATCAAGATTACAATTGAATATTCCCCATTGTCTTATACTGAGACTTGAAATGTGATCCATGGAAAGTAAATCTTTATCTGTTTGTATAAACCTGTTTTTATGACAGGAAATGAGGGGAGTGGGGAAGACGAGCATTAAACGATCCCGGCTGTGAGTGGCACCTGCAACCACGGGTCAAAGACTATAGTCTCTATATATCAGGCGCTTAATATTTGATTCCAAGAAAGTTTGCTGGCTTCTGTGATAGAAATAAAGCCGAAACTTTCTGCTCTTAAGTGTGTGAGTATACTGAGTTCTGTAAATGTTCTGACAAATTATTTTATCTTTTTTATTAAAAGTAAAACATATCTCTTCAATTGATATAAGAAAATAATAGTTTAAAATAATGTATTCATTAAAGACTACTCTTATTTCTAATAAACATTGTCATACACATGAGATTATTGTTTTAAATACTGAGCAACTTTTATTTTGGATGAATAATGCATGAATCTAAATTTTCTCATTAACTATTCGTCCTATAAAACACCATTGTCCAAGATGTTGAACATAATTGTTTGTTTAATCATTTAAATTACATGTTTTTTTAACACAAACGTTAAGTGTCGTAACTGTTGAGAATGTGTATATTTTTGCACAAAACAACCTGATTTGAAGTGCTTTCGCACTCCTACATTAAACATTTGACCAAAGTATTTAAATATTACTAATAATGACAAACATTGTGATTTGTAAGCCTTGCTGCGACCAGATATTAAGTCAACTCGCTGGAATTCATTTCCTTAAACAGAGATGTTTTTTTTTTATTTATGTTTACTTTGTTTGTTTTTTTATTCTCAGAAACACAACAGACATGACTGACAGACTCCACCACATTTTTTTGAAATAACTCCAGTCCAGATTAACATTTTACACTGTGACACCCATGAACCATCTATGGGTTCATTAAGTCTGGCACTGTACATAAATAAAGGTTAAATGAGGAATTTTACCACCAAAAAGATGCAAACAATCACACATTCGTCTGAACAGCTTAATTTACTGCATTCATATCAACATAGAGCAACATATTCAAAATGCTGTACAAACAATTGATCATAGAAATCAGCTTAGAAAAGCTGTTTTAAAAAAAAAAAAACTAATTAAAAGCTATTGTTTTTTTTTTTTACACAAGTCTTCCACCAATTCTTTTCACATTGTCATTGGATGAAAATAATATTTACCTAAAATAAAAACACATATCCAATTAATCACCCGATACCTAAAATGTTACAAGATCCACTGGCTCTTCTGTCTGTGCAGTATCTTCCTGCTGCTGGGGGCTTGTGTCTGCCGTTTCTGCATCCTCATGATCACCTAAAAAAAAACCCAGAGGGATATGTTGACATAACAGAACATCTATACTCTTAAAATTTTGGGGGTAGTTTTTCTATAAAACACATCATGTAAAGCGCTTACTTGACGGGATTCGGTGTATCTGTACGAGTGTGGTTTGGTGTCCATTTGTTGTTGGAGGTAGACGTGGAACAGCAGCTTGAAAAATCTGCTCGTCGTCAGACTCCACCAGACTCAGCACGTCTCCTCTGTCCTCCTCCATTTGCCTGCAGAGCAGAGATATTATTAATGTTTATTCTATTCAAGAAGGGACAATAAACGATCATTAGCATTTGACCAAACAGGATGAGTTTTATCTGCATTCCCTGGCAGGTAAGTGTCTTCTTAAATGTGACAGCAGCAAAGCTACATTATTATACACACCGGATACTCTTTCACCCTGATACACACAAATCTCTGTTGCTAAAAGCATCCCAGGAAGGTATTTTCTATTGTGTAAACATATGTGTCCAGATTCCATGCAGGGTTATGGAGGTATTAAGCCCTGGGTGCTTTCACGATAGAAAAGGGATGACAGTTAAGGTAGTCCCTGGAGGTTTGGACCACGAGTATCTCTATATATCAATGGTTGAGGAGCAAAAAATCAAATTCAGATACACCTAATTATACTAATCAGTAGATGTCAGAAGTTAGGTGTTAAAAAATAAAGCAATTCACTATCAATTGGTGTGAAGAGGAGGTATTCTAGGTAGCAAGTATGGATCGTAACAAAAAGATCTCTGTAAATGTTTTATGTGGAAGAACATTCAATTCCAAGACCCAAATCAGATCTTAAAGGTAAAGTATAGACAGTTGAGAAACATTATGTTAACACAGAAGAAACACAAGGTTTGTTTACTTATAGAGGCTAGCAGCAAAAGCAACTGCTTGATGTCGACACATTTGTCCAAAAGTTCCCCGCAGAGGATGACTAAACATGAACGCCAACGAAAAAGAATCCAGGCAAGTTACTTCCAATAACAACAAGTTGAGACTTTCTGTTGCTGCATCAAATTAAATTAATTTGTACTCTGCTTTACCGGTTATATTGAAATATTACAAGATGCAGCTGGTGCCTATAATAATAAAAAAAAATAACTAAGACATAAAAAAGGAAGTTTTGAATCTCTTTTTTCAATAAATGTGTCACTAAAGGGCACTGGTAGCTTAATGGTTCATGTGCGCGCCTCAAAGCGGGAACGGCCCAGGTTCAAATCCGATCTGTGGCTTCCTTCTTGCACTCTCTCTCTCCCTGATTTCTGACTCTTTCCACTGCCCTGTCACTCTAAAAACAAACCTTTATTAAGAATTCAAATGTATTGGAGAAGTAAATGTGAGATTCTCACCTGAAGCCACCTCCTGAAACAAAAAAAACCAGACAATGTTAAACTTGTATTTGTGGCTTGTTTAAGTTGATACTTTTTATGTTACAGAAAAATTATATGACATTTTCATGTGTGTGGAGTTAGTAGTTACTTAAAGTTTGTGACTTTTGTGTTTATGTTGTAAAGACAGATGAATGTTACCCAGACATATTCTGTGCCGGCTGGAGAAAACGGTTTTAGCGATGATTGCTGCTGAGCCCATGATCAGTACGGCTATAAAGATCCCAATGATAGCTCCTGTATATGCAGAGGAGGCTGCGGAGACAAAACAACAGGAGTAGATTAAGAGGCAGAAAAGGGAGAAGCAGCAGGTTTATCAGCATTCCAGCGGTAGAGTCAACACCTGCAGAGACTGGTTCATTGTCTGAATCTCTGATCTATTTACGTGCAGTATGAACTGTATGTTTTACTCATAGTTTGTGATTCATCCTTCCTGTGATGTTAAAAATGTAATACCCTGTCCTTTCATAAATAAAACATGAACATGCAAAAAGTTTTTTAAAAAAATCAGAAATCTCAAAGCCCAAGCCCTTCCCTTTCCTCCCACACTCACTCCTCACAGTGAGGTAGACCTCCAGCTCTGTGACAGCGAGGGGGTTCTCGCTGCGGCAGAAGTAAACGCCTTCATCGTCCTTGGTGATGTTGACTATGGTCAGTTTCAGGACGGCACCTTCATCTGACACAATGTACTTGGATCCGGGGTTGATTTCCTCCTGCTGCAGCCCTTTTCTCCAGGTGGTGTTTGCGGGTGGGATGGATGTGGACTCGGAGCAGATTAAGGTGACGCTCGTACCATCCATGGCTGTGACCAGAGGCTCGCCTTCAGGAAACGGAAGCTCTGAGAGAGAGAGGGCAACATTGGACTTTTAACTAACTTGAAGCTGCAGTCCGGACACAGATAGCCAGGCGGTCAATTAGTGAAAAATGAATAGTTTACCTTTGCTAAAGGTAAGAGAGTCTCCTAACTAACACTTCTTTTTCAATCAATGCAATATTAACAACATCTGAAGGGTTAAAATGATAACATGTTTTTTTCAGAGGGGTTAGCAAGACTAGTCATCAGTTTTAATACAAAGCTGTCTGTAAGTCATGTGTTGATTTGTAACTGTCAGTTAATAAGGATGGTATTTGATTCATGATTAAATAATGTGTTAAAACGTTGCTTTGAGCCAGGCTAGTAGATTTGTTATCACACTTGACGGATGTACCTTCTGTTCAAGCCCTACACTTATCAAAACATACTTACGCCTTCAGTGTAACGCAACTGTCACACACCTTTCAGTCATCTGATTATTTACACAATCCTATCCTGTCAAGTTAACCCTTACACTCCTGAATGACTCACTGAATGTCCAACTCTGTTGACCTCAAGGGTGGATCTCAGAGTGGGTTATCTCCAAGCCTCCGCACATAACCTAAAGTAAACCCCAGTGACATAAACCATCTGCACGACTTATTATAACATGAAAAAGGTCCTGGTTGTTGGGGAAAAGCCAGACAGCTCAAACAAGATTTTTTTGCTTCAAAAGGAGTATTCCTTTGTTTCTTGAGTGAGAAGCTGCTGCTACATTTCTTCGTGTTATTTATTATTCATGTGAGCACCAAACACTAAGTTCTGTTCCATTTAATTGCAATAGTGGGTGAGGAAAAACATTAGAAAAGCTAATGAAACCAAAACTATCTGCAAAGCAATGATTGACTGCTGCTAATGGAGAAAACATGTATGCATGTGTGTCAGTGGCCTCCAAAGTGGAAAACACATAAAAGATTTAGCAGCTGCACATCTCAGGACAGTAAAGAGGCTCATGTCACCACATCGTGCTTACTGAGGGTTAGCGAACACTCCTTCTCCTTCCCTGGAGCGAGGACTGGGTGCTGCGCCGTGCACCTCAGCTTCTGACCCTCGGACAGCTGGGAGCGGTTCAGCTTCACTGACAGGATCTCCGTCACCTCTGATACATTCACGGGTCCTCTCCCAAGAGCTGCTGGGTCGTCCCGCTCTTCCCACTCTTCCATCCAGTGCAGTGTAGGGGTGGGGTACGCTCCAAACCAGGAGCAGCTGAACAGGATGTGGGAGGGGTCCTCTGCTGGGGCCCACATACAATCAGGGTGTTTGTCTGGGACATCTAGTCAGGACAAAACCAGACAAGTACTGAGTTATAGAGAAACTACAGAGAAGATTTAGCACATATCACAGAAGATTTGAATGAAGTTTGAGTCATGCAACTTCCAGGACTCCACTCAGTGCAGCCTGATTCATGAAAACAAGCACAAGTTGAAGCTGGTAAACATCAGACCTTCGGTTACAGTCGAGGATTCTGGGTAATCTGCTCGTAGTACTCACAGTAAACCAGCAGCTCTGTGTCCTTATTGACAGCCTGATGGGTGAAGGTGTTGTTGGCCGTGCAGGTGTAAAGTCCCTGGTTGCTGGGCTGCGTGTTGTCTATCCTGAAGTCCAGCCAGGAACTAGAGGAGGAGGCCAGAGACTGGTTGCTGGACGTGGCTCCTCGGAAGGACCAGGTGAGCTCCTGGGTCGGGTACGAGTAGGCGGAGCAGTTAAAGGAGACGCTCGTACCCCGATGGACAGTGAGCGTCCGGTTGGAGAGGGTGGAGGCTGGACTGATGGATGTAGATACATTTTCTGGACCACCTGAAGAGAAAAACAACAGCAACGTAAAACAATTCATATTCTCATCTTTTACTCTTCTTATACGTAAAGATATTTCCCTTCATCTGTTACATTATAACACAAAAGGTAACTGTTAGATTATCCCACTATTTTAAGAATTGTAAATACCAATCCATCAAATAATTAGTGGAGAAAAAACTAACAGAATAATCCACCATGAAAGCAACGATCAGTCATCCTCACTTGAGGGAGACTCAAGCTGTAGGTTGTGGGTTGATGGACGGTCTGCCTCCCCCCACCCCCTTGTTCCCTATCCCTCTTCCTGCATCTTATCCCATCTCTCCCCCTATCCCTTTCCAACCCTGGCGCAGTCTAGGCCTGTGAAGGCTGTTTCGTCATGAGCCGGGGATCCGGCCAAAGATTTCTGCCTTTTAATAAGGCAGTTTTTTCTTACCACTGTAACTTTTGCTGCTTTGCTAAAGTGCTCATGATGGATTTGGCCGGGTCTTTGTAATATAGCAATAAGTAAGGTATTTTACCTGCTTTTTGTAACATAACAATGAGTAAGGTATTTTTACCTGCTCTTTTATAATGTTAACAGACAACACTTGTTATGAGTTGACGCTATAAACAATAAATTGAATTGAAATTGAATTGAATTTGTAAGTGTGCTTGCTTGATGAAGTTGTCTGACCTCGGCCGATTAAATGGTGTTATAATCTCCAGTCTGTTTCACGATTTCTTCATTGGATTTATACAAACAGAAACAACCCCCACCTAACACATGACCTGTGAGGCATGTCTGATATGTAGACGAACCAGTTTAAGCTACTAGATAAGGCTTTTCATTGAATCACAGTGACAGAAAGGCCCTTTTAATCTTATTGGACTTTACTTAGGAACTTCCACTTACTGGCTACTTGAAGCAGCGCACGTGCCCGAAAGGTGATGTTGCCTGGCAGCGTGGAGCTGCACAGGTAGCTACCCTCGTCTCCGGGAGTCACCCCGCGGATGTTCAGACTCCCATCTTGCAGCACGACGAGGCGCTGCTGCTGTCCGACAGGTGAAGAAACGCCATCTGTAATGACTTCCTGTCCATTTTTCCTCCATGTAGTTAAATTCGGTGTTACATTACCGGCGGTGTAACACGGAAGTAGAGCGACGTCCCCAGGTGCGGCTGTCAGGGCCGTTTCGGTGGAGTCATTATCCGAAACGGAGGCTTTAAGAAACGAGGAAGAAAAACAACATTAGAAGGTTTTCAGACTCACCTGTGTGTTCTGTGGCTGCGCGACTTCAGCCTGCTCACCTGTGGCACGCAGACACAGTTGTAGAAGCGCTACAACTGTAACTATCTTCATGGCAACTTTACAATCACCTACATCGCCCTGAGAAAAGGTAAACGAACCAAAAAGGCGTCCGGTCTCAAACCTGTCTGACTAGTCCACCTGCGCAAGTCACTCTGCAGCACACAGTAACACAGTGGGCACCAGTCCGCCCATTATAAACTTCAGCAGATAGACCACAGTGAGCGCACGGTGACCGCCGCAGGTAAGCCCAACATGATGATGGGACTTCAGCGTTTCCAGTGAACTGGCGTGCTTTGTTTACTAGAGCACGCTGTTACGGAAACTCCTGTGCGAATAGACCACACCCTGACCTCCTCACCTTGTTAAAGGGGAGGCAGACCTACAGGGCTACCACTCCATCTCATGCAACTAACACGTTAGTTACAACGAGGCTACTGCAGGTTGTTTTTTTTTTTTAAACGGTTAGACTATAAAACACATAAGACTACGGACCAGACATAAAAAAATGAATAATGAGGAAAGGAAGATTTTCAAGATGTACTTCCAGAAAAAAGTCGAAATGTCGAGGAAAAAAAAGGCAAAATGTGCGCACAAGTTTATCTTACGCACTAAAAATAATATTGCGCACAAATCACAAAATGTCTTTTTTTCTCTTAACTTTTTGGGACTTCAGGGTCTCCGTAGAAAATGTATTGTTTTTGTTGTACTGTCCCATGCATCCTTACTGTATGTCTCATTTACCCTGAATCCACTCTTGACACTCTGAAGGAAGCAGCAGGATAAGATTAACCAATACTTATTGAAAAGTAACTTTTATGTATTTTTAGTTACTGATAATTAAAAAAAAAAAATACAGCCAACATTCCCATCACACATAATATCCTATAGGCTATATTAATATAAGAACAACATCCTATTCATCTAAAGATGATGTGCTATGATTGAATCTGAAGAACTGTTACCTTAAATAAATCCTGTGTGGTGAAATTGCTTCCTTAAAGAGGTTTAAACACTTTAAATGTGATTTGTGGGTAACTCCTTGCAGAAAAGAATAAATGTGACTGCCTATCAGTACTACAAATTTGAACCTTTGTATTTCTATTGAATGTAGGCTATGTTTATACTTCTAGAAGGCTATTATTTTTCTGTCACTCATTTCCTGTCTTTCTCCTGTGCTACTTCTCATGATAACAAATATGAATTACACAAAGAATAAAGTATTTCAGAAAATGGACCAAACCTACAGCAGTTAAAATCAGCTCAATCTTTACCAGATTAAAAGTGCACACATAATGAATGTATCACCTTTTGAGATACAATAATAACAAAGGACATTGTTAAAGGGGGCAATCTTCAAGATAGCCTACTTTTTTGTTTTAACTATAAGAATATGTTTTATTTTGTTTGGCAGTATCACCAGCTGTGAGTAAATAAAATGTCTGACATCTTCAACGCTGCAGTGAAATTAAGATTAACAATGTACACGAACAGTTCCTGAAAACGTAATATTTGCATTGCAGGGTTAAGGGTGTTTTTTTTTTTTTTTTAAATGTATTATTTATTTTTTTTTATTTATTTTATTTTATTTTCTGTTTGATTCTTCTTTCAAAAAATGTGCAAATAAACTAAACTAAACTAAACTAAGGGTCAAACAAATTGAACCCATATGTCAGAAATAGTTGTTTTTTTTCAAAGTGTACATAGTTTATTATGGATTAGAGTTTAATTTACTGTGACTTTAATGTATTACTGATAAACTTTACAATAATTCCCCTGTTCAAATAAACAAACAGAAATGAGAAATCATAGACAGGTTAGTGATGCAAATCGTCTGTGTGTACCTTGTGTTTGCTTTTAAGGTCGGTAGAATGCAAATTTTAACCACTGCAATAAAAGGATATAACATGCATCCTTAATTTACTTCATGTTGCTGCAATAAACAACGATAAACACAGACCGCTTTATTTGGAGGAAAGCAGGTTCCTCTGCTCTAAAAAAAAAGAGCATAAATGACTTTCTTTACTTTATAGATTTGATACTTCTCTTACAGCCACGGCACTGCTCTGGAAACAGAAAGTGTGTTAATGGAGCTGAAGAGCAGGAGGAGGGACGACTTCACGACAATCAATTTGTGTGTGATGAGACAGTGCCCTCTGGCGGTCACTAATAGAAATAATAATATTTTTATTTTTAATATAATTATGTATCGCAATTAGATGGCTCAAGACCGGGTTTTCTCAAAAGTGGCTGGACACAAGCTGTCTTCAACAGATCAGGAACACACTCAGCATTAATGGATACGTCTATGATGATGAGAATAGCAGAGCTAATGGCTGGCAGGACTTCTCTAAAAAAAAAAGAAACTGGTAAATGTGAAATGTCAATTAGGAGGACTGGTGCATGTTAGAAATAATGTATGCCAATGTAATGGGGGTAGACTGAATTATGGGATTTAGAAACTAATTTATTAAAACAGGAGATTAAATCTGAGGTGCAATGTTGGCTCTGATACAATTGATCTTGTTGACAAATCATATAAGATACCGTTCACAATCTTGATGAGGGGGAGATAACTGGGCATGATTAGTAGTGATTAATAATGCTGAACAGAACTCTGGGGTTGTCTTTTTTAAAAAAAAATCACTTTTGAGATGTAAGCCGTGCTTGCCCGGTTGAGTCTCTGAATGAGCTGATAGAAGATTCACTTTAAAGGGAAACTTCACCCGTTGAAACATGAATTTGTATTGACATTGGGTCATATATGTAGTAGAAATGTGAAATACATTTTGTAGTTGGTGCCTTCTTGGCTGAGAAAAGGCAGAAAGTGTCTTTTTGGCTCATGTAGATCAAAGACACCAAATCCCAGAATGCACAGCACCTCAGGCCACTCCCACTAAAGTCCGCTATTTCAGAATCAGAAATACTTTATTAATCCCAGATGGAAATTCGATCATTACAGTTGCTCCAAAATATACAATATAGCAGTAGAAATATATATAAAAACATTCACAGACATATTTAATTCAACACATGAGGCCAAATATAAATTTAGCGGCAAGGCGGTTCCTGCCGACAGGCCGGTCTTGTGTCAAGGCCGACAAGACTGGCCTGTCGGCAGCAACCGCCTTGCCGCTAAATTTATATTTTTTCGCCATTATCAGCTTTCTCCATAGAGCCTGTTAGCATAGCTTCCAAGCAATATGGCAGACGTTAAATATCGATTCTGGGCGTGAGTTCCCACCCACTGATCTGTGATTGGTCTGTAGCTTCAGTGGTCGAAAATATGAGGAACTAGTGTTGTAGTTTCACCCCGCTAACCGCAACAGCTTCCAGTGACGCAAAAATCGTCATTTTGCGTCACTGGAAGCTCCTTTTCAGACTTAGAAATGCACAACCATTCATAATTACTACCAGGTTTCTAATGATAACAAGCTTAATGCAAATGGGTGAAGTATCCCTTTAAATTTCGATAAAGTAATTTGTGACGTTCAATTGTTGAAAAATGAATGGGAAAATAGACTTCAGACTTTTTTTCCAAAATAAATCATAGACCGAACAAAACACGCAAGAATTAGTAAATTGACCTCTATTTAACTCAGCATTTAACTTTGAATTAAAAACATGCGACGCCACGCAACCATAGCACGCAACACACTGTAATAACATCTGTGGTCATAATGGGCAAAACGTCGGTACATGCACAAATATAGGAATTTAAATTTGAACCACAAGATTGTAATAACGGTAACACAAAAATATTAACTAGATAAAATCCACTTTAGTCTTATTTGTGAAGTAAAAGAAAGATTTTGTATTATGACGGTGCAGTTTGTAAGATAAACGCGCACAACTTGTGATGAGAGTTCTGATGTCCTAGTTGTACGCGAACGCAGCATTTCTGTCAGGTTGTAGGGGTACCTACCACAAGTGAGCGGATCATAAGTCGAAATGCCCGCAGATTTGAGCCAGTGGACCGGGCCTCTTGCCCTTCAGGAGGTGGAAGAAAAACCTGCACAGCCTCTGACGATTAAATACGACTCCGTGGAGATCGACGAGCTTGGCAAAGTGCTCACCCCAACACAGGTTAGTCAGCAAGCTAGACAGACTAGCAACTCAGCTAAGTTGGCATCGTTCCTGAGAGATATCTTTAGAACTAATGCGAACATAGCTCTTAAGATATATGCAGCATAGTTAGCACTGCTTTTTTTTTTTTTTTTTTTTAAACACGACATTGTGGTTTCAGCGTGTTTGCAAATGTCTATAAACAATGATTAAAGTCGCATGACGACGTCTCCATTGTGCGCAGCAGCTGTATTTTACGGATAATCGCGCCCCCAGGTGTCTGTGTGTCAGAGATGCAAAAGATCTGATTCAAGCCACCAAAACCCGAAATTGGTGCTCTTAATCTACGGTTGCATAGTAAAGTGATACCCGTGCTCACCAACAGGTTCAGAACCGACCTACCTGCATCGAGTGGGCAGGATGTGACTCCAGTAAGCTGTACACTCTGGCTCTGACCGACCCTGACGCTCCCAGCAGAAAGGACCCCAAATTCAGGTGAGGGTACAGTGAAACCTGGTGTAACAAATAAATGAACACATGAGGTTTGGAAGAACACATAATTAATTTCTATGCAGTAGTCCCACAGCACTCACATACTGTATTATAAGGACATATATAAAGGGTTTTATTTGAAGGGAGTTAAAATGCAGGACACTCCTCAAAGGTCATTTGTCACAGTTGAAATAGTGTTCCAACCCCAAGTATTGCATTCATCAAAGAAAATGTAAATTGTATTAGTCGTCTCGTAATCACAATATCAGGATCTCATAATTAAGAGACAGAAAATTGGCTTTTCGTACAGAAACAAATCCAAGTCTTCCATCATCGTGCAGAAAAAGAATCATTGAAGCTGTGTTCTTGTCAGTGATGGGATTACGGCGATGTCATTTATAGACATGCTGCAGCTTCATCTCTGAAGCCTCTGGACGCCGTATATCACTCCGCCCACAGGTTTGTAACTGGTGATCGATTTGACACTGATCACTGTGACCTGTATGAGAGGGTCGGTTGGCTTTCTCTTGGAGAGGAGAGCAAACATTGTTTTTTTTATATATCTTTAAGGCTCTTGTTGGAAAACTTCCACCTTACAATCACAGACCTGTTGGAGCGGAATACAGGTGCCTACATGAGCCGTTCTTCTGATTGGCTCGTTCTTCAAGTCCCTCGAGCTTTTACTGTTCTCGGTAAATCTGCATTTTCTGCATTTTTGATGACGCAGACTCGTGGCACACCCTCCAGTAAACTCTAAG